CCAAGCGAGCGAGAGATGGATGCAGGGGGATTGGAATGTGGCTTGGGAGCCGTCAATTGATGGCGGCCGTCGGTGAGAGACGCGCGCGCGCTGGAGCGACAGCTGGAGGGCCAAGCTGCCGACGCCCCCCGCGCGGCCCCGCGAGCACGTCCCTCCCCCGACCAACGGCCGCGACGGCTCCCTGCCCCATCATCCTGTCCCCTCTTCCATCCCCTCCGCTCGCTCACTAAAAAACGGACCGCCCACAGCCCCGAACACAACCCCATACACACCCACGCCCCCTCCCCACATTACACACGCCACGAGCTCAATGAAAGAAGCAATCCCGACCTCCACCCCAACCCCCCACCCACCTCAACCCGGATGGTCTTCAGCCCCCTCATGCTGGGCCGGGAGCTGCCGCCCTTGGCGCGCGCCAGCGCCTTCTTGCGCGCCGCCTCCAGCGCCTTGATGCGGCTCTGCAGCGAGAAGGGCAGCGCCGCGCGCGCGGCCTGCGGGCGGCGTGGCGCACGGGGGCGCAAGGGGGGAGGCGTCAAAAACAAATACGTAACGGGTCGGGAGGGCTGGGTTGGTTGCGCGGTCGGTCGTGTGCGCCTGGCAGTGCACCCGCGGGTTTGAGTGGGGGGCATGCGGCCTAGAGAGGGCCCCAGCGGGGGCGGCCGGCCAGGTCACGTGCGCGGTGGCTGGGACACGACGCCGTGTGAAGAGACAGGGAGGCAGCCATGCCGGTCCCAGGCGCAGGAGGGAGACGGGTGTCGCAGGGGGCCCCTTGCGCGCACCTTGAGCGCCGTCACGAGCTGCCCCCTCTTGGCGCCGTCAATGTCAAAGGGGGCCACCCCCTCGTGCAAGCCGCGCGCCTCGGCCTGCGGCGCGTTGCGCGCAGGTGTGCGGGCGAGAGGGGCGAGGCTTGGGCGGCGGGCGTGCAGCGCGCCTGTCCGCGTTGCGGACGGCAAGCAAGCTGGGGCCGGGCCCCTAGGCCCCCGTCAGGGCGAAGGGGCGATCCAGCTGTGCATGTCGGGCAGCAGGCGCACCCCCGAGCGGCGGCGCAGGGGACGCCCCGCAGCCCAGCGCGCGGGCCCTGCCCCGCGCATCGCCACGTGCAGCCCGCTTTGGCGCCGGCTGTCGAGCGGTGGTGCGGCATGCCGTGCGGCTGCTGCTGGGCTGTGACTGCGGCCTCACCTCCGCCCTCAGCTCCGCCATGGTGAGCTTGGACATGGGCACGGGCATGCCGGCCTCGTCCACGACGCAGTCGCCGATGCCAATGGTGACGCCGTCAACAAGCCTGCGCGCGTTGAGGGGGGAGCGCCGCCGCGGGCGCGCATAAACTCATATGATCTCATATGATCTCATGTGATCTCGTAGGTCGCGCCCACGCACGCACCCGCGCAAGAG